AAGCAAGGTTAGTATTCTTATTGAGGATTGGCACCATGTTCCAGAGACACTGAAGAAGCAAATTTGGTAGAGTATCCTGGTACCTACTCTTATTGAGCATTTAACATGTATATATATTTAACTTTTTGGGAACTTCATGTTATTTTTATTGTGTAAGTCACATATGATGTCCCTAACACCACTTTGTTGAGGAAAAAGTGGATCTCATATGCTGGGGAACGCTGGAGAGGTTTTAAGAGTGATCTGACTAGTCGATACATATATGGGGCATTAAGCAACAAGAACCCATGTGACCAGTATCAGTTTTTGGATGAGGAGACATGACAGACATTTTTTACTCAGCGTTTAGACCCTAAGTTTCAGGTTAGCACATTTGTCATTTGTTTGCAGTCATTTTTTTTAAATAGAGGTTTTAAATCTGGTATTTAACATGGAATGCAACAGGCCAAGCGGTAGAAGGCACAAGATATTCAGAGAAAGAATATCCAACCCCATAGGTTGTCTCGTGGGGGTTATGAGAAATTGGAGGAGAAGATGATGAAAGAGACATCTTCAAGTCAACCTTCAGATGACTCAGTTGTGAGTTCTGTCACTTGCCCTTCACGCCATGATAAATGGAAGAGAGCTCGCCAGAACTCATCAGGGAATTACTTATCTGAGCAAACTAATGTTGTAGCTCAACGTGTTGTAGCTCAACGTATTGAGCATACCCTAAACTAATTATATATGTTATACTACAATAGACATATGTATTTGCTAAAAAATCCTTCATTTGTGTTGTAGGATGAGTTGGTTGAGCAGAGCACTCAGGGATCATTCCACCCACATGGCCGTGAGGATATATTGGCAGTGGCCATTGATACCCCAGAGCATCCTGGACGTGTTCATGCTGTTGGACGAGGGGTGGGCATCAGACAGTACTTTGGTGCCCCATCCGTGGCAACTCATACTTTGAGGCATCTGAATGAGTTGGAGTTAGAGTCCTTCAAACAACAAATTAGGAAGGAGATTCGAGATGAGGTGTACTCTGACTTGAAGGCAGAGTTATTGAGCTCAATACGAGCAGAGTTGGCATCTTTGTCCTCTCAACCTTCTGTCCCCGCACGAGAGGCATCCCCGATTCATGTCAGCACAAAGGAGAGTTGTGATGCTCCTAATAGAGGGGCAGAGGTTGCTCCTACTGACACTACTGACTGGGAGTTGTATGTTGCGGGTCCTCCCAAGCATTTGGTGGCATATGGTACGTATTATATCTTTGACATGTATTTGGTACTCTGTTAAGCATTATATAGTCTAAAATATTTTATCATTTGTTTACCTTAGGAAAAATGTATGCATTGGGGTCAACCATCCACCACCAGAGTATTGGACATGATATGATAAGAGTGGTGGTTGTAGATGATCGGGATGTTGTTACCCCAATCCCTATTCCCACTGAAGAGATTCAAACAGTGGGACAGACACCTGGAAATTTTATCTTATGGCCAGTTTCATTAATAAGACCCATCCTAACACATGCACAGGTTGTGTCATGCATTTATCCCTTTTACTTATTATTTTTTGATATGTTGATGTATATTAATGTTTATTTATTTTTGGTACTTGTATAGAAATAGGCTGAAAAAGCAAAGGAAGTTGTGCATGAATCACCACCACCACCGAGTGCTTTACAGCGACTCAGTGCACTAGCAGCGACTATCGGAACCACTCCCATACAGTTAGATATGCCACCCAAAGTCGTATGCAGGACCAAGACGATCCCTTTTTTCTTACTCCAAAGGATATTTTTGATATTCTCGCTGGTACTGATATGCTATGTGTATCAGTGTTGCAGCTTTGGGAATTGTAAGTAAATTTACATATTTTTGATATTCTCACTGGTACATTATTTTATAACTTTATTTATTTTTTATATTCTCACTGGTACCTTAAGGTATTTATATCGTTTGTGTGTTGAGAGGAAGATTGTCTTTATCTATGGATTTGTTGACCCTGTTGCCATTCAGTCCGTTGGGAATAAAGCTGAAGAGGTGCAAACGTACTTAATAGAGACATTTCAAAATGGGGGCAAAGAAGTCTAATTAGCACCTTACTTGCATCAGTAAGTATACATCTTATAAATTAATGCACATTTATGTAAAACTGAAATTTTACTAATATTATTTCAACGTGCAGGGGTCATTGGCAGCTCATAATCATTGTTCCTCGGCAATTTGTTGTGATTCTCTTGTGTTCATTACACAAGAAACCAAATGATTTGGATATTAATAAAGCACATAGACGCGTAAGTTTGGTTTTTTTAATTGTTGTATCATATGTGCACTTACACCAAAATTATTTGTCCTTTTATAGAGTTTTGGAAGCTCACCTAAGGTTGCAAGGCCTTCCATCTCATCCTAGAAAGAAGTTGACGTATATTGCACCAAAGGTGACCAAACATTCCTCTTACTGTTGTTCAATTTGTCATTTTAAGTTAATCTGACATGTATTTAACTTGTAGTGTCCACGCCAACCGGGAAGCCATGAGTGCGGGTATTATGTGATGAAGCACATGCACACCATCGTAGCCAAAAATATTATTGACTCATGGAGGGAGGTAAATATACTATAATTAAGTCAAATATGCCAATTATGTAAATGGTTTCTAAATCTGAAATGTTTCAATATGTAGGAATTTACAGACTCATCTCCATTGAAGATTGAAGTGTTAGACGATATTAGAGAGCAGTGGACTTCTTTCCTTTTAAGTATTCAATCTTCATAGCAAATTTGACTTGTAACAATTTTGATTGAATTGATTTAAGTTAGCAAATTTACATTCGTTCAAGTAAATGAACTGTCTGGAACTGAGGTACATATATTGATTTCAATATGTTTCATATGTACATATCTGTCTGGAACTATATATGAACTGTGCATATCTATCTGTACAAGTGTTTGGAACTGTGAATATTTGTCTGGAACTATGATGAATAGGCAGGTCTACTCGAAGAAAGGTAGGATATGTGAAGAAAATGCAGGTTCTGTAAAAAAAATAACACTTTCTACGTCGGTTAATGACATAACCGATGTAGAAAGTTTAACATTTTATGTCGGTTATAAGCATAACCAACATTGATATCACATACAATCACGGTTACTATTAACCGATATAGATACTGGGGTTATAGAAAACAAGACTTTCTATGTCGGTTATCAGTGTTAACCGACATAGAAAGTAAGACTTTCTATGTCGGTTCCCTGACTAACCGACGTAGAAAGGTTTACTTTCTATGACCCCTGTATCTATGTCGTCACTTTAACCGACGTAGAAAGCCCTTTTTAACCGACATAAAAAGCCTTTTCTGCAGTAGTGGTCTTTCCAACTTCTAGGCATGTATTGAGCGTAAACATTAGTTTAAGGGATAGAAACCACAGAGGTAATTAGACCATCAGCAAAGACTTTTTATTATTATTATTATTATTATTATTATTATTATTATTATTATTATTATTATTATTATTTAAAAATAAAATTGAATATTTTATTATAAATTTTAGAGTTATTTAAATCTTAATCGATTTATTTATATAAGTAATTTTATTCTAATTTTAAGTAAATTTTTTTACTTTTAAGTTAGTCAGATGTAAGACCCATAATAAAATATTAATTTTTTATAGATATTATTATCTAAAATAAATTGTTATTATTTTAAGAATATTTTGTAATATTAATTGCCTAAAGTTTAGCTCGTCAATTATAATGACAACCTAAATTATAACTTGTATTTTGTATATATTCCTAATTAATAGAAAGACAAATCATAGATGATTTCCTACATGATATCATATTAGGTTACATTCCTCCTTTTTTGAAAAACCTACTCGTCATTGTTCATCTTCTTTAAAATATTTTTTCCCCTCTTTCTTCCATAACTGTCCATCCATGTTTGACAATTTCAAATTTCACTCTACTTTAATTGTCACCAACATGAAACATCTCATTTTAATCACTTTGGATATGGAAACTAGCCAATATCACTCATGGGCAACCTTATTTAAGGTTCAAGCTAAAGTTCATTTCATACTTGAACATATCATCCTTCCCACAGAGGCCGCTGCTATAACAGCATACCAAACAACCATGGTTGTTGATCTCCCTTTATGGAATCACTTTGATGCTACTATTCTCCAATGGATTTATGCTACTGTATCTCCTGATATTCTTACATCGATTCTTGTGGTTGATGATTCGGCTACTAAAGCATGGCAGCGTGTAACTGACTTATTTCAAGAAAACAAAAACACTTGGGTAGTATATCTTGAAACTCAATTTACGAACACGAACTTAACAGATTTCTTCATAACCTCTGCATATTACAACCGACTTAAATCTCTTGTTGACCAATTATCTAATGTTGGGGCTCCTATTTCAAATCAACGTCTAGTACTCCATTTGCTTGTTGGCTTAACTAAAGCATATGTTGGTTTTATCACAGTTATGCAACAAAAAGATGATTTGCCAAGTTTTGCTACAACATGTTCTCGATTGAAGTTATAAGAGACTATGATTAAGAAGCATGCAACTCATGAATCTGGTTACTCTTCATTCTTAACCATGGACGAAGGCTCTAATTCACAGTCACAACAACATCACAATAATACCAATAATTCATAGGGCCCTCATAATACCAATTGCGACAAGAAAACCAACTAAGGTAGAGGCAACAACACCTGACGTGGCAGAGGCGAATGTGATAATGGTGGGGGTACAGGTCTTGAAAAAAATGGTGCACCACAGCAGCTGTTGCAGTACTCGCAGTATCAAGTCTTCCCACTATATTAACATCCCTTTCTTAATCCTTGAACAGGATGGGCCCAACCTCCATACCCTTATCTTGTAGCCTCATGGTAACCTAGACCTCCATGCCAAGTCGGTGTTCTCAGACTGCAACCACCACAACAAGCTTATAACACATCAATAGCACCATCCAATATTAGGAACACACTTACAAACATTAATGCGGGCATGCATACTTTTGCAATCTCTCAACCGGATGAGAACTGATATATGGACATTGGTGTTATCTCTCATATGATAGCAGATCAAGGAACACTCTCATCTTATTTTGATTCGAGCAAATATTACAATATTATTGTTCGTAATGGTCATTTGATTCCTATTTCATGGAAGCACTACACTATCCTCACCCCCACCCTCCTTTAAACCTAAACAATGTGTTATATGCACCAAAACTCATCAAAAATCTCATATTTGTTTGTAATGTTACTACTGATAATCTAGTTTATGTTGAATTTGATCCTTTTGGGTTTTCGATGAAGGACTTGCACAGGGGGAACCATCTAGTGAGATATAACTTTGGAGATCTCTACTCCATCTATCTCAATTATCAGACAATCTCTCCACCAACACTTCCTTTAACATTTACAACTTTGTCTTTCACTTTGTGGCACAATCGTTTAGTTCATCCCGATACTACTATTCTAAACTCTCTTTTTTCGCCAAAATTTCATAAATTATAATAAAGGCAGTCATGATATTTGCACTTCTTATCCTCTTGGTATGTGAAATTACCATTTAATGCATCTTATTCTTTTACTGAATTTCCCTTTGATATTATTCAGAGTGATATTTGGACATCACTCATATCTAGCTCTTATGGTCATCAATGTTACGTATTATTTCTTGATAATTTTAGCAAATTTTTGTGGACTTTTCCCATTTCTAAAAAAATCACAAATTTATTCTATTTTTCAATCTTTCCAAAATTTAATTAAAACCCAATTTGAAAGAAAAATTAAAATTTTTTAATGTGATAATGGAATGGAATTTGCTAATGATTCTTTTAAAAAAATTTGTGAACAAAGTGGAATGAAATTTAGGTTATTTTCCTTCACACCTCTTCTCAAAATGAAAAAAGTTGAACGACATATTAAATTCGTTAACAACATTATTCACACCTTATTAGAACACTCATCTATGTCACTTTCTTTTTGGGATCATGCTCTTCAAATAACTATTTATCTATTAAATATTCTCCTCACCAAAGTTTTAGGATATTGTTCCTTGATGCAAATTCTTTATTGTAAAAAATCTAATATTTTCTTATCTTCGTATCTTTGATTGTCTTTTCTACCCCCTATTTCCTAACACTATAATCAATAAGTTGCAAGTCATGTTCACCTTGTGTGTTCTTTTAGGCTACCCATCAAACCATCAAGATGATATTTTAAGCAGAAAAATAACTATTTCACTATCATGTAATTTTTTTATGATAATAATATGACTCCTTAAGTGAAGACAACTCTTCACACTTAATCTGTCACCTTCAAATCTATGTACCACAAAATCAGTAACACAACTCACACTTCCTCTCACACATATAGGCCCAAACTCTCAACTAGTGTTACCCTTTCCTCAACCGGCTTTGTCCCCTCACACCAATAAGCTCTCAACCTCAACGTCACTCTCCTCAACTGGCTCTGTCCTCTCACACCAATAAGCTCTCAACCTCACCAATTACTACTCCATCTTCTCAAACTTCAACCTATCAGTCAACAATATCCAATCTCAGGCCTTACTACAAGATCACTCGTAGTCAACATGGTATAATTAAACCAAACCCAAAATATACCCATAATTTGAGTGCTTTGACCATCACTTTTATTTCTCCCTTACCTAAGAATCCAGTGAGTGTTCTTCATGACCCAAATCAGAAAACTGTCTTGACTTAAGAATATAATGCTTTAATTCAAAACAAAACATAGGATTTGGTACCCTGTCCCCATGATGTAAATATAATTCGATTTATGTAGATTTTTAGACATAAACGCAACTTTAACAATTCTTTTGAGAGGTACAAAGTTCGTCTTGTAGGTGATGACAAGTCACAAAAGAAAGGAGTATATTATAATGAAACATTTAGCCCAGTAGTGAAATTGGTAACCATTCGAACGGTTTTAACCAATTCTTTGTCCAAATCATGGCTCATTCATCAGCTAGATGTCAAAAATGCATTTTTACATGGTAATCTAAATAAAACCGTTTATATGCATCAACTCATGGATTTTAAGGATTTCTCTCGTCCTGATTATGTTTGCTTGTTAAAGAAGTCACTCTATAGCCTAAAGCAAGCTCCTCGTTCTTGGTACCAATGTTTGCATATTATATGGCCACAATAAGTTTCAAATATAGTAAATCTAATCACTCTTTATTCATATATCATAAGGAGTATGATATTATATATATTTTGTTGTATATTGATGATATTATCCTAGTGGCTTCCTCTTATTCTCTTAGAATGTTCATTATGTCATTCTTGAGTACAAAGTTCGTTATGAAGGATCTTGGTCCACTCAGTTAGTATTTGGGGATTACAGTTACCCGTCATGCAATCAGTATGTTTTTCTCACAGAAAAAGTATATAGAATAAATTCTTGAAAGAGTAGGGATGACACAAAGCCCAAACTTGGTGCTTGTAATAACATTCCCTAGAGGATCCTACTAAATATAGATGTCTTACTAGAGTATTACAATATCTCACTTTTATAAAACCTGACATTTTTTATGCGGTGCAACAAATATGTCTTTATATGTGCGATCCCAAGGATGAGTACATGCATGTTCTTAAGAGTATTTTACGTTACATTCAGGGTATTATTGATTTTGGCGTGCATTTGAACAAATTCAATATTGGAAATCTCCTCTCTTACACAGATGCAAATTGGGGTAGATGTTCGAATATTAGACAGTCTACATCTAGGTATTATGTTTTTTTTTTTATGATAACTTGGTTTCTTGGTTGTCTAAACGACAACTTATACTATCTCATTCTAGTGCTGAGACTGAATATAGAGGAGTAGTTAATATTGCTTTTGAATCTTGTTGGATTTGAAACCTTCTTCTGAAGCTTTATTAATTGTTCAATTTAAAAAGCTACATTAGTATATTGTGACAATGTTAGTGTCATTTATTTATTGAGTAATCTTGTACAACATCAACACACAAAACACATTGAGATGGACATACACTTTGTACGTGAAAAAGTTATTCATGGCGAAGTCCATGACCTTCATTTTCCATTCTGCTATCAAATTTACTGATATTTTCACCAAAGGTCTTGCACACGTACTTTTTATTTTTTGTTAATTTTCAAATCTAAACATTTATCAACCTCTCACTTCGAATGAAGGATTGTGATAGATATTATTATGTAAAATAAGTTATTATTATTTCAAGAATATTTTATAGTATTAAATACCTAAAGATAGACAATCTAAATTATACTCTATAATTTGTATATTTTTAATCAATAAAAAGACAAATCAATAATAATTTCCTACCATTTTTATTCTTATTCATCTCCATATATATATATATATATATATATATATATATATATATATATATATATATATATATATATACATGGGTCTGGAAAGAGGAGGTCGTGGGGAGTTTATTGCCAAGCCAACTCATTCTATTTTGCAGATAGCCTACTGATTGAGGAGAAATCTGATTTCTTCAATAATTTGTGGAGTGTGAAAGTTATACCGGAGGCTGTTGGTTTTGTTTTGGAGGCTAGCTTTGGGAAGAATTTCAATAAAAGACAATCTCACACGAAGAGGAATGCAGTAAGGGGACACAAGATGCATTTTGTGTGGACTAATGAAGGGGACAATTAATTTGTTATTTGAGTGTGAAATTACAGTAAAAGTGTGGAATCTGTGATGTCAACAGGTTGGTATAATCTTGTACTTTTCTTGTAAAGTTAAAGAACACGCAACATCACTATCTTGGGGATCTTAATAATAAAGGTAACATGGATGATTATGTGGGTGGCTATGGTGTGGATTATATGGAGCAGAAGAAATGAGGTTATCTTTCGAACAAAAAAAGTTAATGCTGAAGAATAAATCTTTAAAATAATTCTGTGTAGCTCGTCGTGCAATCTAGTATTTAGTATTATACATAAAGAATAAACAAATTGGTAAAACAAAACAAGCTTGGAGGATCTCGAATCAGGAAACAACTAAGGTATATGATACAACTTGGATGGTTTCAAACCAGTAGTGACATTGAAGTACTGGAGAGTTCGAATCCACTTCTCCTGATTCTTCAACAAGTGAACGGCGATGGTATCAGGCCAAAGCTCGTGAGAACATTTTGTAGGAGGCTCAGGAAAGTTATACATACCCCACTTAGCATTGTACCTATTCTTTCCTTTCCCACCCTCCCGCATCCACTCTCCAAACACCTTATCCTCGGGTCCTTCGGACTGTTTCCTCGGAATTTCCGAGTCCCTTATCCACTGCACAATGTCCCACGACACCAAGTACCCCATCCCCGACATGTACCTCACGAAAGGGTCCATGCTACTACACGGTATGACATAGCCATAGTACAAGTCTTCCCTCGGTAACGCTTTCAACGATTCCACTAAACTGTTCAACCTTAGATACGTATCATCGTCGGCTTTCATTACGTAGTGATAAGGAGGGTCGGATCCAACGGTTTCATTTAACAGCTCCGGGAGGCTCGAGAAGTAGGTTAAGGTTTTGCCTTTGTTCATGTTTTCTTCACAGTTGAGGATTATGATGTCGTCGTAGAGCATGATCTCGAGTGCCACTAGAATTTTCTGGTCCTCCTTTGTAAGGTTGCAGAACACAAATTTTACGTCGATTTTGACGCTGGGCGGCTGCGGCTGCGTGCTGTAGACTAAGCGGAGGAGGTGGCGGCGGAGGTGCTGGTCCGGGAGTGTGAGGATGCCTATGAGAATTCGTAGGTTGCTGTCCGAGGAAGAGGAGTTGGTCTGTTGAGGACTTGTGGTGGGGGAAGGAAGTGTGTCTTGCAGTTGATTGGAGGCTAGCATGTAGAGGAAGATGAGAATGAGGAAACATGAGAGAAAGAAGCGTGCTTTGTCAGTGTTGGAGGGTTTCATGTTGCAAGTTAATGCAACGATGGTTGCCATGTTGCAAATTTTAATGTATTAAATAGGTTGAACGGGAGTTTGAACTTTGTTTGGCTCGGTGCATTATGGTTAAGTGGAGATTTTGGTTTTGAATTTTGCTCCTTGGTGGATGGGCTGATGAAGGGATGTGAAACCACTTTTTTTTTTTTTTTTTTTTTCCAATTTGTATTAGATTGAGAACATATGTTGGGGTTAAGAAAATGGTTTCTTATTGTTAGTTATATTTTTTTGTTTAATAAAGTTAATTTTTAGTAAAATTATAAAAGATATGAAACCTTATGAAATAAAAGTTCAATGAATAAATACATGTTAGGTAATTGACCACCGGGGAGAGTAGAGAATTGATAGAAGGTGGAGTTGAGCCTAATTTTTGGTTTCGTCGTCCAATTTATACGTGAGTCTTGGTTAGTTGGGTTTCGCAAAGTGGTTTGGTCAACGTTCGTAATTAGGCGTATTTGCATGAACAAGGCAAATTTTTTTTAATAGAATTAGACAAATTTGATTATTATAATTACGTTTTGATTACACGAAAACTTCAACGTTTAATGGATCGTAGAATTTCAAACATGGTAAGCAGTAGTGAAGTCTAAAAGGAAATTGAGAAAACGTTTTATTTGTTTATTCTTTGGAATTCAAATTGGAACATTGGCATGCCCTTCTATGGAGGACATTCGTATATACACTGACATTTGTGAGGATATACGTCAACGCAATATCCACGTCCATTATATCGTTGATGACACATCGCAGCACACTCAGCGAGGTTGCAAGCATTTGGATCCAACACTGTCGAACATTCTTTCGCGGCTCCACTTGTCCTTGAAATACCTATGAAAATGTAAAGGAAGTGTTACAAATTATCTTATTTCAATGTAACTACTAGAGAGTAAAGTTTATAAATTAGAGTCCTATAAATAAATAAAAACAAAGGTTTTTTCATGTATTATGTCTTAAAATCCATTAATCTAGTAATTAAATTAGACACTGCATTAATATGACATAAAAAGTTTGCTAATTAAGAGGGATAAATAGCAACAAGCAATTTTCTTTTACAACAATAACTAGAATTTAGATAATAAAAAAAATATAGAGAAATTACTTTACCTATGATTAGGGTAAGAGTGAAAATCAACGTGAAAGAAATCTTAGCCATCTCCAAACAAAACAGCAATACAATTTAGCTTTGTTGTTGATAGTGTATTGTAATTGAATGTGAGGCGAAGGGTTTATATACAAAAGAGTTGGTGTAAAATCATTTACGAGATTAAATTTATTTGTTAATTTGGTATGTATGTGTATTGAAACTATACATATTTAGAGAATTTATTCTATATTTAGAAAGAATAATTTTATCTTATATCTTTTCAAATATCAAGATGAATGCAGTTAACCATCTAAAACAATTTTCAATGGATGGGTTTTCTCCACTTCCAGTCAAGTATTAATTTTCTTTTTACTAATTTTTCCTCAATTACTTTTTTTAAAATTACTAATGCATTTTAAGAAAGAAAAAAAACTTGGTGATTTAAATACATTTATTAGATTCTTGAGTTTGTTGCATATATGTTTAATGGATTAAGAATCTAATAATTTCCTTTCATTATATTAATTACGTTTCCCATTTGTTCTCATAGAAACATAAATTAAAGAAGTTAGTTAAATAATTAAGTAAAAAATTGTTTTAATCTGAAATAATTTTAGGAAGATGTTAATTTATGCTCCTTTAACAATGATTGCAAAAACAGTAATGAAGATGTAATAAGTAAAATATTTTATTTTTCTAAAAGAATAAAGTATTAATTATGAGACAATATAACGAAGATAAAATATAATTTTCATTTTAAATATGAGATTATTAAATATGATATTTTCTTGACTGCTAGAACTTTCAATTACTTGCCCATTTTAGCTTGTGTTCTAACGTGATCCAATTCTTCATGAATTAATTATAATCGTTATAATTATTACGTATTAATAATTTCCTCTTCTAGTAATTTTTTTAAAATATTAATAGTAGTCATGATATAATTTAAATAAAATTGTAAAAAAAGTTAGCTAAATGATTAGTAGGGTGTATTCAATAAGTTTCTCTTTTTTTTCTCATTTGAATTTTTGCACTTGTATAATGGAGTAAGAGAATGAAATTTTCCTTTTATTAATATTAATTACTTTTTTTAGTACATAAATAAATTAATAGAAAGAGGTAACAAATTGATTTATTCTAAAACAATCTCGTCAAAAATTTAATTTATGCTCCCTTTATAATAATTTACAAATATCAATTACTATAAAAAATATAATGCGGATATATAATTGATAAAAATATTTCCAAAAACCCCTGTCTTGTATTGAATATGATAGCACAATATATACATGAAATACGAAACATTCTAGGCTATAATTACGCTAACCATTATAGTCGGTATCCTAAATTTGTCTATTAACGGATATGACATTAATGTGCATCACTCGTGCATCATTGTCATGCCAAGCTAAATATGGAAAAAATTAATCATGTAGAATCATGGCATGATACGGTATTTGTAATCGTATATTCTATGTTTATCACCCTCCCTCAAGATGGAGTATGAAGGTTGTGAATGCCCAACTTGCCTAAAAAAGAACCAAATTTAGTGGCGCCAAGAGATTTGGTGAAGAGATCGACCAGTTGATGATGAGTGGACACATAGGAGGGTTGGATATGATTGTGTTGTATTTCATCACGAATAAGATGACAATCCACTTCAATATGTTTTGTCCGTTCATGAAACACAGGATTCTTGGCAATGTGAAGGGCAGCTTGGTTGTCACGATAGAGAGTCATAGGGTCGGTGTGAGTAATGCCTAGGCTCGAAAGAAGGCCTTGAAGCCATTTCAACTCACATGTCGTGTTGGCCATAGAACGATATTCTCGCCTCGGCGGATGATCGAGAAACCGTATGTTGTTTCTTGGTTTTCCAGGAAACGGGGATTGACCAAGGAAAATAAACCAACCGGTGAGAGATCTTCGAGTTAGAGGACAACTTGCCCGATCCGAGTCACACCAACCATAAAGACGAAGGTCACTCTCTCTTTTTAAAAGCACACTCGACCTGGGCTGCCCTTTAAATAGCGTACCACGCGGAGTGCAGCCCGCCAATGCTCTCGACGCGGTTGGTGCATGAATTGAGATAGGACATGAACACCGTAAGATAATTCAGGTCGTGTAAAACACAAGTAAATAAGGCGACCGACGAGACGTCGATATTGACTCGGGTCGGAAAGTAGTTCGCCATCGCCCAATGCTAAACGATGATTTTCTTCGATTGGCGTGGACACGAGTTTCCCTCCAAGCAATCCTGCTTCAGCTATGATGTCCAACGCATACTTCCGTTGACACAAGAAAATTCCTGTAGGAGATCCGGCAACCTCCACCCCAAGAAAGTATTTTAATTTCCCTAAGTCCTTCATACGAAAACATTGATGAAGATAATCTTTGAATTGCGCAATGTCTTCATGATGATTGCCAGCAATGACTAGGTCATCCACGTAAACTAACACAACCAGTTCGACATCTCCTTTGCGAAAGATGAACAAGGAGTGATCGGACGAAGAACGTTGAAACCCATATTGAACAAGAGCGAGTTGAGAGCTTGGCAAACCAACACCGAGGAGCTTGACGAAGACCATAAAGGGACTTGCGGAGACGACACACCATACCCTTTTGAGACACCAAGAACCCCGGCGGCATTTTCATGTACACATCTTCCTCAAGATCGCCGTGCGAGAAAAGCATTATGGACATCCATTTGATGAAGTTCCCGGTCTTTGGCTACGCCACTGCCAACACCTGTCCGAATGGTGATCATCTTTGCCATCGGGGCAAAAGTCTCGTCATAGTCAATCCCCTCAACTTGGTGATTTCCCAAGACAACTAATCGGGCTTTGAAGCGTTCAACGCTCCCATCGGAATGATATTTGATTTTATAAATCCACTTGCAACCCGGAGGCTTCTTCCCTGTCGGTAGAGGAGTAATGTCCCATGTTTCATTACTTTGGAGGGCCCGAATTTCACTAGCCATGGCATCTCTCCATCTAACATCCCGAACAGCTTCAAAGAAATGCACGAGTTCTCTCTCCGCATGAAGGGCTGCAAGAAAGGTTCGGTGGGGGAAGGAGAATTTAGCACAATTTAAGTACTTTGTCAAACCGTAAGGCATACCCGAGGAAGCTGAATGTGGAGTGCGAATTGAGGGACCGAGTTGTAAAGTGGTGTTAGTGACATAATCACGAAGCTTCACGGATGGCTTTCGTACACGAAGACCTTTCCCCGGGGATGCGAGGACGGTATGCTCCTCGAGAACCTCTAGTTCCGTCATCATAGAGTCGGTTTGTTCCGGTGGGAGAACGATCCGGGTGGGAGGCTCTTGTTCATGGCATTCGGCGTGGCCCTCCCCGAACTCGGTTGTGGGCACATCTTCGTTGTGGGGTTAACGTCATCGGTCTCCACAACGTGTTCTCGCATTGTTCATTGCACCAAGTCCAGGCAATGCTTCCTCGACAATGCCAACATCAACAGTAGGCAATCCTACCTCCGAATGTCTACTGTGGGCAAGAGAGGCAAACGGGAATTCATGTTCTACAAACTTAACATCTCTCGAAGTCCGTAAGACTTCTCTTTCCGAGATCAAACAATTTCCAGCCATTTTTTTCGATTGAATATCCAACAAATACATTCTTGCGACTTCTACTTGCAAATTTGTCACCTTTCCTATCTTGGTTATGTGCATAACACAAGCATCCAAATACCCGTAGATGGTCATAAGTGGGTGGCTTCCCATTCAATATTTCATATGGAGTTTTTCCATGGAGAACGGTTGAGGGTGTACGATTGATCAAGTATCCTGCGGTCAAAATGCATTCTCCCTGAATTGAAGTGGAAGTTCTCCCCGAAATCGTAGAGCACGAGCTACATTTAGGATGTGTCGATGTTTTCGTTCGGCTCTCCCATTTTGTCGAGGTGTTCCAATGCATGAGGTTTGATGGAGTATCCCATGTTGCTAAAAATATCGTTGAAGACACATAAACTCGGTTCCATTGTCACTTCGTAATATTTTGACTTGTTTCTCGTATTGTCGTTCTATTAAGGCGATGAAATGCATTAAGGTTTGTGACACATCTTTCTTATTATTCAAGAGATATATCCACACAGCTCGAGAACAGTCATCAACCAAAGTGAGAAAGTAAGATGCACCACAAGACGAGGGAGTTCTATATGGACCCCATACATCACAATGTATTAAATCAAATATATTGGATGCTTGAAAATCACTTAAAGGAAATGTGTTTCTGCATTGCTTTGATCTCTCACACACTTCACACACACGAGTTGTATCCGTATTTCTATTCACGCTCGTTCGGATGCGGAATTTTTCTAACAATCTGGTAGGCGGGATGTCCCATTCGCTTGTGCCAAATCTCTAGTTGATTTTCCGCATTGGTCCGATACGCCTTTATGCCACTCACACCACGATACCAATAGAGTCCCTCTTTTCGTTCACCCGCACCAATCAGCATCCTCGAAGTGTGGTCCCGCATTGCACAAAATCTATCGAGTAAAATGTACCTGTACATTTTACTTCATTCGTCAATTGTGATACCGAAATCAAATTGCAATTCAATTTCGGAACATATAGAACATGTTTAAGTTTCAGTCCTCCATCAAGGAAAACCGATCCTTCTTTGTTTGCCAGCACCAATTCACCATTTGGTAGTCCCACTGGGCACCCTTCCAAGGCTCGACTCTCCCTCAAGTTTTCTAGTGTTCCTGTCATATGATTAGAGGCGCC